GCTGTGTTGGGGCTTTGGTGACCCGGAGAAGGTGGCTGGGGAATGTTTGTTTGCTATTTCTCATACAAGTGTCAGGAGCAGCAGGAACGGGGCTGCTCTGTGAGTTGGGACAAGCCAGGAGCCAAGGGCAACCCCAGTTTGGGCCATGCTCTCCCTGCAGCCCCACGGGTCCTGAAGGCAACAGCAGAGCTAGCAGGCATCACGCAAAATTCTTCAGGGATTGGTTCAAACTAAAAACCTCCTCTGCAGGCTGGGCTTAAATCGCAGAACTCATCACCACAGGATGCTGTGGACATCAAAACTTTACACCAGCTAGAAAAGCAATTAGATACATCCCCAGAAAAGAAATCCATCAAAGGTACCACCGCTGGCCAGGGAATCCCAGAGTCATCGCCTGCTGAGAGCCAGAGGGCAGAGATGCTCCCCTCAGGCTACGCTCTTCCCAAAGAGCAGCACTTGCTGTTGGCCACTGCGAGGGTGACAATACTGAACAGGCTGGACCTGGGGCTGCTCTTGTGTTGCTACCTGCAGCAAAACTCCAGGTGTTTCATGAGCCTGCACTGCGACACTCCTTGTGCTTAACAATAACCCATCCCTTTACGAAGCTTTTTTCCCCACCACTTGTGCCAGTGCAAAAATATGCCTAGATGTGAATTATCCTGCGATTCCCCCCAACAATAACTGATATATTACATACGCATTTAAAACTTGCATTGTTCAATCTTTAGTACAGGACATTGCCCTTCAAAATCACTTCCCCTGTCTTTACGATACTTTTAAAACAGAATCTAAAAAACAAAGGTGAACACACAAAACTAAACAGAAATATTTTTGTAGATGGTTTCTTAAAAGAATGATTCCTAATATGTTCTAGCAAATAACCAATGGAAAACAGGACTACTTTAGAAAATAAAAAAATTAAAAACTCTACGTTACTATACAAGGACTCACAAATTCAGAAATATCCGTGAAAGCAAGTATCTGTACCAAAGATTTTATAATAAGCAGAACAGCTAGTCTCTGAGGTAATTCTTGCTTTTCATTGTGCTTCCTTCTCATTGCTACCGTTGAATCAGTTAACTGTTGTCCAGGCTTTCCCCTTTTACCCTGTCAAAAAGAGAGAAAGGTGTTTTTGTATAGAACTTTCACCATCACTCAACAAGCATCTGTGCAGAATTGCCTGATATATAAGCTATTTAGAATTATCAAGTCATTTTGCTTATTTTTTAAAGAAAAAGTCTTGTCTGTTATTTTTACAACTTTTGTTATAACAGTATTGTGCATTTTTATTCCATGGCATGAAAATGAAGAATTACCACCACATTTAAAATCACATATGAAATATCAAAGTAAATTCACACTATGCCAAGTTAATAATATGTTTCCTGTTTTTCCTGAAAATCAAATCATATATTATTTTGATATTATCATGTTAATTCAGAAGAAAGGGTTGCATTGGACTGGAGCCATCTAACCAGCAGTTGCTCTATTTTATGACGTCATCCAAGTTTCAGCGTTTTGAGCTTGTCCCCAGTTGAAAAAAACCCTCCAAAAGAGAAATTTTTCAGTAGTTCAGGCATGATTTTGTTTTACACTGCTACACCTGGCTTGAATTACTCCAGTTTCCAAACAGGGCTCTTCTTCCCTCTCCCAAATCAGTATCTTCCTGTGGCCAATTTCACTGAAACAGATTGATCTGCGGTAGAACTGAATTAAAATGTTCTGACCTCTGCTATGTTTAAAGTGTAAGCTGTGTGCTCAGCAGCACGCATAATCCAAAGGCAGTACAAATGCTGCCCTCCAGCCTCAGCAGAGCCATACTGGCGAGCATCAGTGGTGGGACTCTATCAGCAAGGCTTGAAACTCTCACCTTGAAAGAGACAGCAGTCAGAACAAACCAGTCCTTAGGAAAAGCACAGCTTGGAGCATCTTGGGCATGACTTGCCTTCTAAAAGCAGGCTGCCAAGAGCTTGCACACCACACAGTTTTGGAGAAAGCAGAAGATACAGTGAAGTCTTCCCTCTGTGAATGTCACGGTCAGCAAAAGCGCCTGAGAGAGCTTCAAGAGCCTGTCAGTTCTCTCAGCAGGGCCAGGGCCACTTTGTATCCCCTCTCCAACCAGCTCTGCAGACATCACCCGCAGCAGGAGCCTCTCCTCCTGCACACCCACCCCAGCCACGTAGCTGGTCCATGGCCATCCTTGGTCCTTTCCTCTTCAGGCCTCCGACACGCGGCGCCATGAGCGAGCGGTGGCAGCACCTCACCGGCATCGCAGCACCAACCCAAGCGGTGCGGTGCGGGGGGCTGCTCCCACCTTTCCAGCTGCCAAATGCCGAGATCTCTCCACATTTCAGAAGCTTTGCACTGCAACAGTGGGGTCTAGAAACATGCTTTTACTCGACTTAAAAAAAAAAAAATAAAAAGTTTAAAAAAGCCCTGCAAGCACTAGGCCCCAAGCCTCTGCCTGGCTTGAGCTGTGCCATAGACACGCGTTGCTCTGCAGCAGGCTGAAGACGAGTCTGTTCTGCTGCCAACAGGGATGTAGCTGTCCTGTACCCACAGAAAACTGAGAGCTCTTAGGGCTTCCAAAACACAGCCCCTGGCTTTACATTCCTGCAGCCAACTGGCAGCCACAAAGACCACTGTCACAGAGAAGTTTAGAAAAGCATCCAAAATATCTCTGGCATTACTGCTGGCTTTATTCACAGCAAATTTGATTGACCAATATTTATCAGCCCCTAATAAAACTGTTTTAATCTGCACAGAATTCACATCAAATTGCAGGCTGGCAGAAAAAAAGACAACACTAATTTGTAAGGAAAGTAGCAGTTTAAATCATCAAACAAAAGAAAATCTGACCACGCTCGAAAAATCATTACAGCTGAGCTGACATTACTAAAGAGCAAGCCACCCAGGTTAGGTGTGTGCCCAATAATGATGACAGCTGTTCCTCAGGCACAAACAGAATTGTCGATAGAGGTTGATACTGGTTCAGCTTCACTTCTATGACAGCAGTGCACTACATATTTTTTTTAACAGGAGTTTATAGACATTCCTATATCTAGATAAATGTCACTCAGAAAATATTAGGTGGAAGTGTCTTGAATGGCAAAAATCTGTTACAAGGATTATGGAAAAATAGGTGCTTGTATACTCGTTAGTTTCAGTACAGTTTTTACAAATGTCATTTTGAAATGTCTTTATTTTAAATTATGCCAGAACCTCACAAATCTGCCTTCCATCAGCTGGATGAAAAATTGGTGCTATTTTTCATTTCTCAGGATACATTCAACATCAGACGCTGTGATGCTGAGATCAAATGTTGTTACAAGCTATGAGCCGAAGTGCCCCAGAGACTCTGGGATGTTACCTACAAGTGGCTTTTCTCACCGAAGCGGCACAGAGCCAGGCTGCCGCACCGTGGAGGACACTGCTGGCAGCCGCTGCTCGAAGGCCGCTGGCTCCTGCACTGCTGTCCTCCATCGCTCTGCGAGAGCTGCAGTTGACACCTTTCTTGGAACACCACTTTGAGTAGTACACGGGCACAGGACCTACCGTAACGGTTGAGTGCGTTAATCAATCTGGCTGGAGGACAAGGGAAGCATCTGCTGCAGCGATTATTTGAGTAGGCTTCGAGTTTGCGCAGTTGTGAAGGAAGGCTGCAGGCACTCGGGTCTGGCTGGTTACTCTCCAATGGCATTCTGGAATGGAAATGCACACTCACACAAGCTGCAAAGGAAAGCAGAAACCTACTGCAGCTTACCACCTCATACAGACTGCCATGCGTAAGTGCTGTCGGAGTTCCTATATCAACTTTTAAATGTATAGGATGAGGTTTTCAAGAAAGCTCTGGCTCTACTCACAGGGACATACGCTGAGAAGAGGTCAAGACCAAACAAATTCTTGGAATCACAGCAGGAGCCAACAACTTTAAGAGTTTGCGCTTAAGTGCCAACATTTCTCTCAAATTTATATCTTGCATTTCCTAAGCTTATTGGGTCCCCTGAACATCTGGAAGCTTTTGGAAACCAAAGCCCTGAGCTTTTCTGCTGTCCTCCATTCTGTGTACTGTTTGATCAAATCTGTGTTATCTATTTTGCTTAAGAGTAGATCACGCACAATAAAAAACACTGACACAGATTATAGGCAAAATAAATATTTTATTGGTTTAATATACACTTTTTTTTAAGAAATCAGCCCTTGTGTGTCTTCCTAACACAATTTAAAATCTTATAAACTTTTTCATATAATATTGTTATATTTGAAACTATTTTTGATTAAAGACCTTGACATAGTGTAAAGAGTTTTAGTAGATGGAAATGGCAATGGAGTAAAGACATTCCAAGCACAGCAAAATGGGATATTACATATCCACTAAATGTCTATTTGATCACATAAAAACTCCCAATTACTTCCAATTTACTCCACTGGAACAAATGCATGTTCCCCAGGCTAACTGAAAATACACTCAGTGAGGGACGGGGAAGGAAAAGAGATTTTTTTTCTATTTTCCCCATAATACAAGCAAGGTCATTCATCCATTCCAAGTTGCACATGCTAATCGCTTTCAGAGCATCAGTACTTTTATTGCATTTTGGTTAATATGAAGCAGAAGAGAACTTTCTTTTGGTATGACTGAGAGCAGTCAACACAAAGACAAAAAACAGTGCTTAAAATAAGGCACTTTTCTATAGAGGGATGGGCACACAGTAAGGAAGCAAATAAAATTAGTTAAAAGTTGTCTTCTATACAAAGATAAGGCTTTCAGTGTCAGAACTTTAAGTAGTTTTAAGTAACCTCATGTCATTCTACCACTCTGCTAATAGTAACCGCCCCAAGAATTAACAGCAATTTTTACATCAGGATTTTTTCTTTCTTTTGAAGTGGCACTAAGTAACAGCAGTGGAAACCATTATCGGTTGTTTCAAGCTCTTAAAGTGGATCAGTTATTGCACAATAAATACCTCACAGAGGTCAGTGTTTTGGGAGAGGGTTTTGTTGTGGGGTTTTTTTTCATTTTTTTTTAAAAAAGCTAGGCTGAACACGTGTGTGTTATTTATAAATTGGTTATGTCTGGAAATCTTCAAGTTTCATGATGCATTATTAAACAAAGAAATTAGCTACATAAAAATTTACAATAGGGACATACAAATAAATAGAAAACCTTTCAGAGAGCCACAGTTTTGTTGCTGCTTTAAGAAAAGTAATGAAGTAGTTAAAGTGTCTAAGTCTTTAAGACGAACTCAAGGAAAGGTACACATCATAGAACCAAGCGTCGAATACAGTAGCCTATCTCAGCAGCTTTAACATCTCCTGAAGCAAAAATAACTTGACACTTTCACCAGCGTACGCCGCCCAAAGTAGAATCTCACAGCATTTCGGGCTACATCCAACCTTACAGAAAACAAAAAGGAAGACGAATATCTAAATTAGATTTTTTGAAGTCTGCTTGTTACGCTTAAGTATGTGTTTTGATAATATTCACATCTGAGCAGGCAAACTATAGAAATCCTCTCGCACAATGCATTCACATGCGAAGTCATCAAGGAGCACACCAAAACCAAAAATCAAGGACCACTGCATGAAAGCTGACAGCAGAATGGGCCAAACTATAAACCAGCCGATTTTCCAAAGCTGTCCAGGATTATCAGTATCCTCTGTATTTAATGAACTTCCATTTTGATCACTTCTGTTTCCAGGAGAAAATCCAAACAAAAGCAAGGTTTAAGTCAACAACGATATTCCGTGTGACAAAAAAAAATCTGGTTGCGGCAGTTTGCCGAAGATTACCTGTAGTACCCGTTTCATGGCTGTGTATCTTGTTTTGCAGTTGCAGATCTGCTTTGGGGCGATACAGCTGCTAACAATCCACTTACTATTTCTCGCCTTATTTCACCAACAATAGATTCCTTGATCTGAAAGGATTAGCCAAAGGTTCAAGGTCAGTAAGTTATATAACAAATGGATAAAACTAAATGATATTGCAGATATAGTTGACACTACCGAAGTACGAAAATGTACAATACCCAAGAGTCAACTTCCAAAAAAATGCAAATGGAAAAATACAAGAGGCTTTCTCTTGGAAAAATAACTGTAAGTAATTTTAAAGTTCTCGCAAATCATATAAATGCAAACCAAAGCAGTTTTATTTTTCCAGATGGTAAATATATCTGTGTTTTACACTTAGGATTATTAGTTTTACGTTAAGAAAAAATACTTAAATAAAATACTTCAATAAAATACTTAAATACTTAAAAATACTTAAGAAAAAAAACTACGCTCAAGTTCTGAAAACAGCATCTCCAGACATACACCTCAAAAGAACCTCAAATGCACCCCTTTTTGACATTTGTCACCTCTTCAAGACAGGGCCAATCTGCGTCATAAATGGATTACGTAGTAAGAAAGGTCCAAGCCTATGAACATGAGCTGCTGATTTCACACAAATCGAAAGGAGACAAATCCTAATTACATACTTTCAGCAGCAAAGAGAAACAGAGAACTCCAGCTGTAGTTCACATCATCAGCTGGCCCCCGGGTCATGATCTATACCAGCAAAGACTATTTTCACAGGATTGTGACAAACCATTTACCCATCAAGTTTTACATAAAACCAACCCAGGATTTATTGCTAGCAGGCACCTGAGTGCAGCTGAGGCTAGAACAAAGAACAGAGCATTGACAACTACAGTAAGGGAAAAGAAGAAAAGGAGGCAAACCCGGTTCTACAACAGCATACTATGCTGGAAAGGAGCAGGGCATGACACAGAACAATAACACAGACTGCTCCCAAGTATGAGAAATCTTTGGCACCAACTAATTTTTTGGATGGTCTTCACTTGGGGAAGCACTGACGAGTGGACACTGACAAGGACAGGGGAAGATGACAATGGTGAGGGAGTGCAGTGGGTAAAAGCCAGTGTCCGTCTGCCAGGGTGACTCACAGAAGCACTCATCAGCTCAGTTAACCAATACAGTTTTCTTTTTCTTATGAAAAAAGCCAAATAATTTCCTGGCACGAATAACTAATGTTAGATTAAAGAAAATACTGTTCATAGTGTCATTTCAAGGTAGCTTTCAAATGCCTGAGTAGTGGTAATGAACGTGAGACTCGATGCCAGAAAAAAAGCCCAAATTTCTAATCCCCATTTTGCCAGTAACAAATCCCTTCATGTTCTGATGCTCCACCAATACCACGGGAATAATATTTACTCAAACCCAGCCTTCTCAACAGCCTTGCAATGTTTGTGTAGCCCTCTCATCATCTCGATGATCACCTTGCAATTATTCTTGTACGTCTCCCCTTTTCCTGGTGCGTCAAAAGGATTAAGCAACAACGTCAGAAGGGTGGCAGCAGCATTAGCAACAGGTTATTTATCCCTTGTTCTCACTGGCAAGCAATTCAATCCCTAAACTATGAGTGGCAAAGTTCCTTGTCTCATTACTACTTTGTATCAAGCAGAAATTCAGAGACTGTATCATTACTGGGAAACAGGTTTCCAGTTGGGTTGTTTGATGATTAACTGACAAAAGAAAAGCCAGCGTGTAACAGGACCTGGCTTACTGATGGCCACATGTCCTGCGAATGTCTGTGTCAATGCACACACAGACGTACAAAGCTTTAGGACTTCTGGCAATGCAGCATCAGCTCTGGGATTTAGAAACACTGGCACAGGGAAGCAGCAGGCCACTGGTAACAGAACCCCATGCCGCTCTCTCCACTTTCCTTCTCCAGTATCACACAGGGTGGGTCTGCGAGAACGCTACCAAACTGTCATTCTGTGCCCTTCCCTCACCAGACAGACAAAAATAAACCTCACTTTCCAAAGAAAACTGATAAAAGCTTCCCAAATTAGCAAGTAAATGGCCTAGTATGACAGACAGTCTTGTGGCAAGGCGGGGACTGGAAGGGAAGCGGCTCCTATTCTATTCTCAGCTCTTCCAACAACTTCTGGCTTGACCTTGGTGGATCACTTGAGCCCTCAGCCTCTCACCTTCCCACCCGGACGACAACAAGGCCACCCTCTGCTGCTTCTTTTCACTGCCACTGCTTCCTCCCTCCTTTCCAGACTCCTTAAGGTCATTCCTGCGCAGCAAGCACAGCACCGATTCCTGCAGTGACTCAGTCCCATGTATGTGTCATGACAATTGCTAACGTTTGCCTTTTTCATGACAAATGGTTTAGGGCAAGGTGCACCTCCCATTTACCCTGCAGAGGGCACAGCCTGCTGCCAAGGCTTCCTCCATGCCAAAGACAGCTGCAGTCAATGAATGCTCCACCAGTATTTTTAGCAGCTGAATGAAAAATTGATCATTTGAAAGAGGAGAGAACCCACTCATTTATGGTAGATATACTACGTTGATACAGCACTAATATTCAATATTTCATTAATAACACAGTGCCATGCTCATAGATAGTTTTACTACAGTAAACCAGTGATCTTTCTCCCTGTGAAAGAATTACCGTTACTGTAATATTATGCTGCTGCTAAATAATGAATGGACTGAGAGTGAAATGTGCCACAGTGGAAATTCTGGAAGATGGGTGTTCTTCACCTGCTGATGGAAAATGGGCATGAGGCTTTCACAGTCCTCAGACTCCTGATCTGAGGTACATTTTCTGTAATTAAAAGAATCATTTTCTACTCTCTTATTCTTGTGTCACTTCTTCACGGCAGCAGCTGGCGAGTTCTCATGCTCAAGACAGTAAGATGAGGAAGCCAGTGCCTGCACAAGGGAAGTATGAACAACCAACACACATTTTTGATCAATGCTGAGCTAAGACGGATTTCAGTGCAAAACAGAAAAGGGTAGATTCTCTATCCAACCATCTCTCTGTCCCATAAAGACCCATTACAGCCTCTCAAAACAGATGTTGACAGGAAAATCATACATTTCTTTGAAGTGTAACTTCATTAAATGTCATTTACAATGGCGAACTGTTAGCAAAAACAAAACCTGCACTGTTCTTAAGTAGAAAGCTTTTTAAACTATCACATCTTTTAAACTGCAGAAGAGCAGAGTGAGAGGGCCTGGTGGCACTCCAAGCGACATTGTGACCTGCGTGCGAGTCAAGCAGTAAGTACCTGAGGTGACACTCCAGTGGATGTCAGGCTGTATTTTCATCAAAACAAGAGGGCCACTGTTTGACATTTTAATATTTCACATTGTTCAATGCCTTTCCGTGGGAGTTAGTCCATTAACGCTACAAGTTAACACCATGGGTTTTTTTAATGCCAGCAAATAGTTACAGGTCAAAGCTCACATGCATTACAACCCACCCAGACATATTCTGAAACACTGCCTGACTTTTCTTTCCCCAAGACGAGGTCACGCAGCTACAGAGAATGGGAGGAAAAAGCCAGGGTTTAACATTCGTGAGTGCATATGTCAAGAATGCATCCTATCAGATTTCTTTCTTTTGACAAAGAAAGTGGAATTCCTTTGCTAACAACAGGGCTACTTAAGGAAGACACATTTCAGTTTCTGCTCTGTTTTAGCTCTTCTGAAACACAAAAGATTTTCCTGATCACTATTTAATAGCATAATAGCCCTGCAAACACTACCAGGTGCTTCGAGTGAATGCATCTTCATTCTGACCTGCAAAACTTCTCATGCTGAGAATCAGAGTGAATCCAAAGCAGGCTGCCAATAAAGTTAAACTGAGGGACAATCTCTCTGTGTGGTCAAACATTTATGAAGAGAGTCAAGCTCAGTTATTTGCTGACTACTCATCTTTGAATAGTAGTCTCTCAGTTTAGTGCAGATTATTTCAGCATTACAACGCCCTCAGTGCCACACAACCCAAAGAACAATCCCTGTGCAAAGAATAGCCATCTTCATTTGCTATCAATTAATCAAGTTAAAGAGGAACTTTCACATAGTTTAACCTCAGAGAAAATATTGACTGAAGTCTGTACTTTGATTCCAGCTGCCTTTATTGTCTCTGCTTTTACAGCACATTTGAATTACTGCTCTCTCCTCCCTTTCTCAGCTTCTGCTTTAGCATCCCCCCACCACAATACCACTCCTCTGACACGCAGGTTTTATAGAAGGTCTGGATACAAATGTAATATCCTGGCATTACTTCAGAATTGGCAGCAAAGTGCAAGGCATGATAAATATCTCATGCGCAAGTCTTCTCTAAGCATCAGGCAAGAAACCCCTTTAAAAAGGCATGAAAGGGAAATAACAGACCAGAAGGAAAGAGAATTTGGGATGTCTGGCGTATTTTATGACATCTCCAAAACAACGCCTTTCCCAAGGCTCCTTCCAACTTTAGCTACTTTAGAGAAGATGGCAGCAGGAGGGTGGAAGACCTTGAAAGCTTCCTTGAAAGACATTCAAAAATCAAATGCTTGGCCCCCTGCCCATTCATTCCTTTGCTTTCAAAGTAGATGTGTAAAGTTGTAGCATCACAAACTCCACTGTAAAGATCAGTGATGGCCAGAATGTGTTCAGCTCCTAATCCCGAGCACAGCAACGATGACTGTCGGTCTGGTGGTACCTCACCATGAGCTGACTGCAATACCCTTCCTTCCACACGATAAAGCCACTTTCCATAACTCATTCCACTGACTCTAATGGGGCTACTGATGGGGCAAAACACTGTTCAGCTTCATGAGGCTACTTACTGACAGCTGGTCTCCATTTCACACAGTGAGTCAGCCAAGAAAACATCTCCACTTTGCAGAGACAGACACAGCAGAGTCTTGTGGTCAGACGATGAGTTAAAGGGTATCTTACAGTCCAGTACACCCTGCCTCTTTCTGCACCAGAGAGGAGAGGGGTAAAGGTGTCGCAAAAGATTGCTCTGGAATTACAGCTCCTGTTTTATCATGAGATGAGCGGCCTGCCTTTTATCTGTTTTAAAGACAAAGCTAAGGCAAAGCTGGTTCCAGTCACCCACAGCCTCAAAGCAAGCAGACCTGGATGGTACTGCAGTGTTACAGCATGGCCTGTTGTACGCTCCTGAGCATGACACCTCCCCTGGCCTTTCGAGAGGTTTATGGCAGAGCCATACAAAAGCTTCAAGGCATGAGCCAAAGGCTAAGGGTCCAACGACTGTCAGCTAAAGGCTCAGGGGTCCCTTTCCAGTGAAGGAGAGGGAACAAAACCCACACGTTCTTGATCTCCATTTCTATATTCACAGCAGAGAGCTCGCTCCACTTTCTCCTGGACACTGCTTTTTCATCAGTCAAACTAACTGCAAGCTGATATTTTAGCAAGCAAACATAACAGAGAAATTTTCACTTGTGAATCTGAAATACTGCTGCTTAACCAACTAGTAAGATGGCAAATTCTTTCTCATCCAGACTTACAGCAGCAACTAGCTATTAATTTATGTGCTAACCACTATCACCGAAAAAAGTCTACTGCTTTGCACAAGAATACAACTGTGGCTTGAATATCTAGTGACAAGCTCTGAGCTTTCAGAAATAATGCAGCAACAGTACAGAGCCTTGGCTTCAGAGGGAAGAGAAAACCCCAGCAGCCACAAATTACAGACAGCCTGTTTTTAAGGTTCAATAAACACTGTTCAAATATCCTAGATCTCCACCCCTACCCACTCACCTCCCGTATGACTTGCTGCAGCTCCTCCTGCTCCACACTTTTGTGGATTTCATCAACCGAAGGCATGAGAGGGGCTTTTTCAAGTTTGTGTTCCACCTCTGGCTTGGAGTCTGCAAGCTCCTCAGAGCTTTCTACCTGCTGTCCAGTGCCTGCTCTCACCGGCGGAGTTGGTGTTAAGGCAACAGAGGCTCGGTATAACTTCCTGCTTTGACTCTTAGACTTTCCTGTTAGTTCAGCGGATCCAACACCAGCTTTTCTACCTGCATGTCCGGAGCACACTGAAGAGGAATCAGAGTTTCCATGGGAGAATACGGACTCTGTACCCTCTGCTGGGAGAGTTTCCAGTCCAAGATCTCCCAGCCCTAAACCCAGTTCAGACTTCAGAAATGACTGCTCTCGAATAAGTTCAGAGACCTAAAGATTCAGAAAAGAAACAGTCCCGAATAAGCATATAAAAAGTCACATTCAGATACAACTATGCTTTCTTGTTATTTATTCAATACCTTACTCATTCCCTCCATGTAACAAATACAGCTATAAAATAAATATATGCTTTGCCTTTATGACTGCAACAAAGAGGATCATAAAAAGGAATGAGCTTTTTTGAAAGCCAACATAAATATGAATTGTGGCAGTTCCCCAAGCCACTGACTTTTGCAATCCGGATGCCTCCTGCCACAGCCATTGACAGAGACACACCTAAAGGCTTGATTTTGTTTTTCTTTGCTAAAACAATTCAAGTTTGTTCTTTCCTTTCTGCAGCCATCAAACTACGTGTTTTCAGTAGCATAAAATGCACAGAAAAATAAGAAATAATTTTGCCTAGAAAACTCACCATGTCATTGTGCCAACTAAACACAAACAACATCTCACTTCTACAAACTCCTCAAAAACAAACAAGACTTCACAGCTTCTTACACCTATGGTTAACTCTGCTTAAGGGAAAATGCAGCTGTTCTCAACAGAACTATTCCAGTGAGTAAAGTATTCCCAGATTATGTGTAAAATGAATCTCCTGCGACCTCTTTTAAGAAGTCCCTTCCTGGTTCTTTCTCTTAGTATAACATACAGCACACAACAGTTACTTACTGGTTCAATGACATTCAATGGAGAAGGGCATGATAGATTATCAGCACTTCTGCTTCCATAAATACCCTGAAAAATTAAGTCAAGTTAGTGCATTGAGGATTTTTTTTAGAGCTGTCAGAAGCTAATACGTAAACACGCTGTGTCTCAGACCGCTTTCTGTAAAAGCAGAAACTTGGAAACAGGAAGCAAAGCTGGTTGGAGAAAGTTTATTTCACTCATTTGTTAAAGCTGGCCCTCTGCTATAAAAGGATTTACAAATAAAAAGATATTTATATGGTTCAAAGAATGCAAGTTTGGCTTGGGATCACAGTAGTATCATATTTTCCTGTTCTTGGGTTTCATTTTTTTTCCCATGACAAAATACTGAAGGGAAGATTTGGCCTGTGCCTGTGCTGCTTTTGCAGAAGAGGACTGGCTAAGAAAGAGGAATGAAACCCAGGAAGAACATACGATACTTTTCGTCTGAGCTTCTTTTGTTTGGCTCATGACAGAATTGCAGCAGAAAAAAGAGGAACAGTCTTCTGCTGAGTGAAAAAGAAGAGAAAGTATATCACAGTGCCACCAGTAAACACATGCCAGTGTCTTTTTTATCCCCACACTTGTGCTTCTGAGGAGTGCCTGCAGGAGCAGAGCTTCTCCCACTGTTTGGCGCGGAGCCACAAGTTCATCTGAAGAAGCTACAAAAGGCAATGGAGGAAAAAACTGAAGATGACAACTGGATTTTCCTGGGTTTTGTTGCATGCTTTGGCACAGCTAGAGAGGAAGCACACCCCATTTCTTGGGAGAGAAACACTGTGCATTTCTCATCTCTCTGTCCTCTTTTCACAAGTAAGAAACTACCTACCAAAACTATGAGAATTGAGGGTCATAACAAGGCAAAAAGAAAGCATTGACAGAAGAGGTCTCAAATCTCAGACCTAGGACCCGAGATGACATGTATTGATACATATTAACACCAAGAAAGCCCCTCTAGTCACACACCTTTTCCCCAAGACAAAAGACTGACTGAAAATAATAAAATATGACCCCTGATAATACACATGGCATCACTGGGTTCCCCAGATATCATCCCACTGTAAAGAGTTTTAACAGTTACAAGTTACTAACTTTACACTGAGAAAACATATAATGTTATTGCAAAGTCCTACTTACTATGTGTGTCTGAGGTCTGTAAGGTGAAGACATGTGCAGACTTCTCAGCTGGTCTTCCAGAGCAAGCAGACGTTCTTCTAACTGCATCTCTAATTCCTGTAGCTCCATGCGGACAGACTTTCTCAAGCTCTGTAGCTGATCAGCTTCATATCTATACCAAGTACACCACAAAAAGAACAAGGGCATTCAGTGCACTCAGCTGCACACCACAAAGGGGGAACTGAGCAGGACAGTCCCATGAGTAAAGGACTTCATAGAAGGGAATTCAAAGTGGAACACAGAAATTTCCTTTTTCATGGAAAAATTAGCTGAATACCTAGATGGAACAAAAGTCTTTCTCTGCTTATAGATATTACCATCACTTCATGGAGAAAAATAAACAACATGCTGTACCACTGCTCATTCTCCAAAAATTTTATCTTTAAATGCTTAAATATGTGCAAGCAGAAGAAATTGGCATTTGTACATGTATCTAATCAAATCAGATTTAAAACCAGTAACACCAAAACTCAACAGAGCAACGCAATAATCGCATATTACTTCTGTGTGGTTCTAGATTCCCAAGCAGTCGCAGCTACACTTTGGGCAGGACATCACTGTCTAAGTCAAACATATTTACTTTTAAAGTGATTAGTCAAGAGCTGATTCAACTAAAGTAAATATATAGGCAGTTTCAAAAATTATTTCAGACCAGCTGCTGCTGCAACTCATGGTGAGCAGAAACACACAGGGTCAGAATATGAATGCCATCAGCAGCCTGCCGAGTGGCCACTGTAAGTTGGAAAAGCATTTGAATGCTACAGCGTTCATTCTTTATTTACATCTACAAAGATGGGGGGGCAGGAAATCTAAGCTGAAAATCTTTAAGGCTTTTTCCCCACCAATATCCTATGTTCAAGCACCCTATGCTAAAAGCCTTTGAAATCCACAGCTGTAAAATCACTTTGGTGAAAGGATGAAGAAAAAAAATCATAAACTAATGAGAAATACGGACTAGCAGAAACAATGAGGAAAAAACTCTAGAATGAAGAAGTGTAAAAGGACAGTTAAACAAGTTTTTGGCAAAAACTCAGCTCCAATCCTGTTCAAACTGAAACTAATAGATTTTTTTGCTCTGATTTCAGGGGCAGCAACACTCTTCCTGAAGCACCAGAGTACTTTCTCTCTTTTTTTTAAAAGACCATTTTACCTTTCCTCTTCTGTCATGTGCTGATAAACTGTTGTCTGTTGACGTAACATAGTTAATTCCAAATCCATCATTTGGGTTCTGAATAAGTTTAGATTTCGCCTTACGACTTGCAGCTCCTGGAAAGTATTCTGGGGAGATTAAAAAAAAAAAAAATATATAATAATGCATTACATGGAAAAATCGAATTAAAATAAGACTGGATCCTATAAACACATTTGCCCAGATGTGCTACAGAGGCTGTGTGTTGTGAACTCAGAATAATTCAACAAAACAGCATTTTTAGATGTATCATACAAGCAAAAACATGGAAGGATTTCCAGCTATTTAGATTAATTCGTTTTTAACATTACTTGCAGGATGGAGTCTTGAGAGCAAAGATAGGGAACTGCCCAAAGTTAGCACAATCCGTGGCACATTTAGGATGTTTCTCTGTGTTTTATTTTGACTGAGTAGCACTGTGCGAACAGGGTCACTTACTTCATAGAGAGGTAGAATGGATGATCTCTGAGTAGTGTAACCGGTGCCTGCTGAAAGATCCTGACCCCTCATCACCGGGTACTAGGGGAGAAACAAGCAATTTGAACTGGGAATGTCCACCAGCCCCTTTGTGAATTCAACTTCCCGAACACGCAGATACTCCGACAGCAGCCACTGCTAAAATACAACCTTGCTGGCACTGCGATTTCTGCTGTCTATGTAAATATCGTATCAGGAAAAGGAAACTTCACAAAACGGCAGCGCCAGCTCTTCACTGAAGCATGTGCACCAAAGCTCTGTAATGCAAATGTGCTGCAGGTGAAAAACCAAATTAATCCTGTCTGACACAGTCAGTGGGAATAAAAGCTAAGTTTTTCTGCAGCAGGTATGTTATGCCTGAAAACTCAGTAGTCTCAATTGTCTTAGCTAATGATAAAAAGAACAACTTGGAAATCAGAACGGAACAAATTAAAGTGTGCCACCTTCAAACCATGGTTACAGTCACGTTTATTGTGGGGTTTTGCTCAGTTCTTTGCTTTTTTTTTTGTTGGTTTCATTTTTTAATCTCACTACATTGCCTACATCCAAAGACCCCTGCGTGCTAATGATCTATCAAGAAAACAAGAGCGTTGAAGAATTGCTGTTCGCATGTTTCATCAACACACGCAGCAACCAGATAAAATTCAGGGGCTGTTGCATGTAAAGACATGGCACGACAAAGCACAGTGGAAACAGCAAACACATTCACCTTTTCAAATGTGAAAAAGACAGCTTGTCCAACATAATTTTGAAAGAATTCAAAAGACTATTGACAAGCCATGGAAAATTTGAAGCATGTCCATTCATCCAGAGGAGTTTTGCTCAAACACAATCACATCAAGGGGATGCTGGAGTTTTTTTTTTCTCTCCTAGTTTTCTCTGTTCCCTGTTCTATCAGGAATTTATCTGCTCCTCTTTATTCCCTCCTAAAATTAGAATCATATATTCGAAACACTCAATTTTTTCTTTAGCAGCTGAGTATGCTGTGTGCCTAACTTGATCTCAGCTGTAGGAAAAAGCAGCACAAGTGAACTGTGTATTGTAAGCAAGATGTTTTCATACAAACCTCTGTAATGAGAAGAGCCAAGCCCCAAAAGTGGAAATAGTCTAGACAAACTATGCTGGTAGTAGAACAAGTGGGCTAGGAGATATTATTATCCCCTCCAATACTAATTTTGTCTTTTAAAATGAACCAGCTTGAGCATGAGTTCTGGACATAATACAGAGATTCTTTGGCAGCAGGTTTAGTCAGCACGGTGTAAGTGATAAAAGTGCTGCAGCACACTGTAACCTTACCCATATCAAGGCTGCAAAAGGTTCCCAAGTGGAAATTCTACAAAGAAGGTTAAATTCTGCAAGCGCTTACTCCTAGGCACACTGTCCACTACCCTTGAGCAATGGCTGATCTAAAACACAGTTGATCGCAGCTTTCCACTGCAGTCCTGTGTCCCAGCACCCAAGCTTGCTCCAAGAATAAGGCCAGCTGACATAACCAAAGTCAGGATGGACTAGCCTCTAACTTCTGACAAGTGGCAAAAATAAAACAAAACAACAGGGGTCTGAAAAATCCCACTACTGCCTATCACCTGCAATATGGTGCAGGCAGGCACCTGTTTGCTCTTGGGTAAAACCCACAGAAACTGTTGAAGCTCTACAATTGCATAGCGTTCATATATATACAAGCAGAGTTTGCTCTGCACACGTAGCCTCCTGCAGCAGCTTGCAGGCTCACAAGCTGGCTCACCACCTAAGAGAACAGCAGTACAGCGATGCCAGAGGATGGACAGCTGGCAATCAGGAGGGAGAGGGCAGAAGGTGTGGCAGAAACTGGTAAAAAAAATGTGCTTGCTTTTTAAAGCATTTCTTCTCTGAGTGAGGAGACAGACAAAATTTCAGATACTGTGACAAAACTGGTTCTTAATAATAGATGGATGACTTCAGCATCGCGTTGACTAGCTCCTGAGAAGAACATGAACAAGGTTGGCATGAAACAGCACAGAAATGTATATGGAACCGACATCATCACTGACATCATTAGTGAAGCCATGGGACTTGCGATGAAAAAAACAAATTTCCATCAGTTGGATGGGAAGTTATGTCAAAGACAAGGGAGAGGTTAAAGGACTGTCAACATGTATTTTCAAATCTAAACCTAATGACTATCACCCTAAAATAATAGCTGATAAAGAGTACCCTGTTTCTCCCTCCCACCCAAGAATATTCATAAAAGTAAAAAAAAAATTTAAAGAAAAAATAAAAAAATCAATCTGGGTCAACTGCAACAAGAAAAAAAGTAAATCCAAAAATAGTGGAGCACTGGACAGATGATAATCTGCCACTTTAAACAGAAGCTTGTAAAATAGTAGCAAATCAAGCTTGCACAAAATGTCATTTTTTCCTGATCTGCTGCACTATGCAAATTAACATATTGGTTTTGTAAAGATAAAATATGAAGCCTCTTTGCCCAAGGTAAAAATTTGGCTTCCTCTTACCTGTGAGAGGTTCTGCAGAGAGTTTCTGATGTCATGTAGGACCCTGCGCAGCTGCATCTCCACGGTGGAGGGAGGGTTGATGGCATGAGGTCGATGAGGAAATGCAGCATGCCTTGGAGAGAAAGGACAGCTGAAGGGGGAAAGCAAGGTGCCGTAGGAAGAGCTGGAGATGCTCGGGATGCTGTGGGTGCTCAGTGTCCTCACATGCTCGCAGAGCGGTCTGTCCTGCCACTCGGCGGGGAGGGAGTGGAGGGAGCACGTCGACTGGGACATGCGTGTCGGCGTGTGCAGCGGGCAGCTCTGTACCCTGGTGGGACTGGGTTCCTCGGACAGTCTGTTGGGCCCAGTCTGTGGCACTTCTTTCTTGGAGGACGAAGGTGCAATGAACAGCGTGGATTTGCACACCGCCTGGCTGGTGGCTGCCTCGCCCTCACTTTTCTCATTCTCAGACATTGGTTTCTTGTCTTCCTCCACACCTGTGTACTTGTAGGTGAATGAAGGAGGACCACACAGAGTCTCTTTTCCTGGAGTTAACTGGACATTCACAGAGGACACCACTTTCACTGGATTCAGCAACGCAGTTGGGAGAGACTGAGACCGCCTTAGGGGATAGCCTGACTCAGCAAACCAGAGCCTCTGCTTCCTCAGGAGATCTTTTGACTTAAGCGGAGTGCGTCCGGCCCTGGAATCAGATGTGCTCATGATCCTCATCTCAGCTCTTTGCAAGGCGACATGAACTTTGTCCATGGACGATGGGGAGGAGACACCACCTTCTAGAGACTCCATCGACTTGAGGATATGGTGCGTGTGGTACTGAGGAAACTCAAATACACTGCCCTCCTCCAGCAGGTCCAATGCTTTTTGCTCACTGGAAATGTCTTCCTCTTTAGAGTTGACCTCTCCTTGGACTGTCTTTGGTATGTGAGAAGACTTGCTTTCTCCTCCTTGATTTTGTTCAGTTTCATAGTCAATAATTTTTCTGCATTCGCTCATTCTGTTCTCAGAAGGTGCTCCTACCTTTCGTCTCTCTACTTGAGAGATAATATCCTCTTCATCATCGTCATCTTCATCATCATCATCATTATCTTCCTCCTCCTCAAACTTATTGAAACAGGGCAGTTCCTTGGCTATTGGTGTCTTCTGTTCCTCACTCTGCGACGTCACGGTTGTCTCACTGTCACAGCTGTCAGCACTGCTTCCCATGCCCTGCAAAGACTCCTGAACCTAGGAAAGATACGAGTCAGCAAAGGGGTGAACACACTGGAGACTCAACTACTGCCTTCTCAGGGGTCAGGCTAAGAGTCTGAGTCCATATTCATTGGGCATTGTGATAGGGAGCAGAACACATAATATAAAAGGCAGTTGGTGTGCAATAAAAACAGTGGAGGACAAAAAACCCATCATATCAGGAACATTAGAAGCACACTGAAGTACGGCATCAAAAGGAGATGGTTTAAAAAAATAGGAGCAAACTATTCACACATTTCTTTGATTTGACAATTAACTCTGTTGCCAGAAGAATAGAAGTAGCAGCAGAGTAAAGGAGTAAAAAAAGTAAAATGTTAGTTTTTTAGGTAGCGATGACATAGGGGTAGCAGGGTGGAAGTACATGGCGTCTCCCATATATAAAGGTTCACAGCGCTGAAACGAAGGGTGGTATTAGGGAATGCATACAGAGAAGTGAGGAGAACTGTAGACCACAGTGAAACTAGTGTCATGGGAGAACACTAAGAATGGGAAAACCAGTCTGCCTATGCACTCGGCCTGTTTAAAGTCACAGAATTGTCTGAGACCGGGAGTCTGACATCAGGCTGCTAATCTCTGTTGAAAATTCCATCCAGTCCTATTACCCCCATCCTCCCTTTCTTTCTCCTAGTACTTCTTCCCCTCTTCATTCTAAATCACAGTTTAAAACAGACCACATGTATGAGGGAAATGCTAACTTAATAGGTAACAAATGGCAGGAAAAGCATCTATGAGAAAGAGGAAAAAAAAAGATCTATGGATTACAAAGCATATTTCTTAGGCTGGCCTGATCGACTGGTATATTTACAAGTGGACAAGACATTTTCATAAGAATATGTGTTATAAAGTAGTCTTGGAAATTTACCATAGCTGACGCATGAACTAGAAATTTAGAGCAGCTTTTCCCATCTCTAATTTCTGCAGTTCTCACTGCCATTAGGATACTAACTGTGAGTTTCTTCTAGAGAGATTACTTATGGTGTACATCAGGCAACAGTTCCTTCTCCACCCATCTAGAAGAAAATTTCATTCATGAAGGTCAACTTTGTAAGTATGTGCTTAACACTGCACTCACTGGCACAGTCACAAGTTAGTATGAAAGACTGTACAGGTTCAGATACTGTTGAAGTCAAAGGCAGAACAAAAGATTGTAATGTCTAGGTGAAATTAGGCGTGCTACTTGTGCGCATATCTGTGTCCCTAATCCTCCATCACATTGGTCACTTACAGGTCAGGCAACCAAAACTTCAAGAACTTGGATGGAGAAATCTTCTCAATTCTTTGGTAATGTGAAATTCCCCTGCAGAATATTCCACCTTAATGCCAAAATCTCCCTTCAAAATCAGGGATGAAAGGCAATACGGTTCCAGTTTGTGAGTTTTCTCCTGAGTTTCAGAGGAATGCTATGGCTCCTAGAGTCAATTATTTAACAGTAGATGGCACTAACTTACCATACTTTTAAGAAACAATATACTCCCCTCTGTATTCCCTTCGTCTTCTGTTCACTAGCTGCCAACTTCTCATTTCCCCTAGTCTCATCATTCACCCATATTTTCTGAATTCAGCTCAGCACTTGGTCTGAACAAAGCAGTGATGGTGGCAGAAGAGAGCCTAGTGACTCCACGGCACAAATCACATGCAGTCTAATACATCTTTTCAAAACAGCATAATAGAAAGTAAAAAAAACCTCATCCCTTTATAGCCAACAAAAATAGACTCCACCAGTCTTCCAGTGCAGGGGCACTTCGTTGCAACATGCTTTCAATGGACTCTTAATCAGATTGCAGCTAATATAAAGATCAGGAGTCAGCAACTCTAACCTGAGACTCCTCCTAACATGCCTGTCAACTTCAGCGTAGCCCCAGTTTAGTAGAGAGCAGAACCAGTATCTCGGACTACCATACTCCTTACAGAGACTGAGGCTCATGATTTCCTTTATTCACTCTCTTGCTCTTGGGAAGTGTAAGCTGGTGTTTAAGGGACACACCAAGACTGTCACTGTCTTGGCTTTCATTTTGGTACTCAGTAGAAAAAGACACAGAATACCAGTACCAAAACAGAAAAGCAATGTTGATGGATGGGGAGAGCGGGAATCTCTTCCTAGTAAGTGCCAAACAGCTTTAAAAATGTTTGGTGTGCCACAAGGAAAAAAAAAAACATACTGTAGCATAAAAAAAGTCAGCAGCTGCAAGCCACAGAAATGAAATTACTGGTGCTACACAGACTCCCACTTTTGTATTCCTCTGGACTGTGGGTTAGGTACCAGCTAGCTAATCAATGGCCTTGAGGCCAGGATCCATCCCGAGACTCTCCTCTGGCTGACTGACAGGACAACCAAATCAAGGCTATTACTGTGCAAATGTTTTAGGAGAGGCAAGAGAACACCTCTCCTAAATATCAGGTACAATGCTGAGCAAACGTATATCGAGCAGACACCTAAGCACCATGCTGGAACAAAAGCCTCCCTTAAGACATGTGGTCCCTAGTCACTATAATGGCAAGTTCTGGGACCAAGATCAGAGGAACTGGAACAAGAAAGAGCATGGGAGCTCAAGATCAACTAGACATTAGTATACCTTCACAGTAAAGTTAGTTTGAAATTGTTTTCACTTTTTGTCAGCTGCTAACTAAAAAAAAAACCAGAAAAATACGCAAAAGAAAATGAGTGGGAAGGCAAAAATGATACAAGAAATGAAATGATCAGCAGAAAAGCTATCTTCTTTCATTACCTTAATCTCTACGCACGGCAGTCACGAGAGGAATGGACTGTGATTCTGAAGCCTCAGTTGGTAAAAGCAGATACACCAGAAACAGCAAACACGACATACTGAACTTAAAGCTTATTCCAGGCCCAAGTATACCCAGATTACCCTACCAGGAAGGCTTTAAAATCTTAACACAGTTCTGTAAGCGATTCAGCAGGTCCAGTGCTGAAAATGTGAGTTTTACAGGATCTAGGCTGATGGTCACGATGGCAGTCAAACATCAACATCCCTCCCCGGGTCCCTACTGTCCCACAATAATCGGTAATATTCCAACCACAGCATGGGAACCTTACCTGAAGCTGATTAAATGGAGAACAATCTGTGGAGGAGTCCTCAGCGAAGCCACTGCTGTCAGAGTGCTGACTCGCGGTCCGTAACAGCTGATCTGTTTAAAACAAGTAAAACCCAACAATAATTATTTTACAAATCGCAGCCCTTCATGCCCAGTCGCATTCAATACACACTTTCCTTTTACATCAAAGTAACATTAAGTGGATAACACAATTCCTTTTCAAGTTCCACTTGGAACAGTATCGAGAAACAGCTTGTTTATTTCAAGTGAAACCTCTTCTCATGCAAAGCCCTACTTGTGAAACCAAGCAGCAGTGGAACAGGAACCATCTTTCACATTTTTCTTTCCTGTACCGTGGAAAAAAACCCACTCTGCAGATGTTGCCACTGCTGGAGTTTTCCTTCTACAAAACTGTATCACTGGTTAATTCACATGCAGGCAGTGGAACAGTTGCTTTTGTATTGACGCGTACAGGTTCGCCACCCCTCCTGATCATGGAGATAAAGGAGATCACTCATCTCCTGTCAGCCTACACCACCCCATACATCCCAAAGAACAGCATCACATGAACAGGGCAGGCGATGCGCAGGACTCGGAGAACTGCTAGAGATGATCCTCCGCTGGTTTAGTGGACAAATACAAAACATCTCTGACACACCAATGGGCAATCTGCCAAAGCACATTCCCGGCGCTCATTTTATACATGAAAGATAAGATCCTCCTGCTTCTTCCTTGCTGCTTAGATTAGGTAAGTGTTAAAATAGCCTAAAGAGACTCTAAAATCCTCAGTGCTACCCAGGAGCGGTTTCCTCCACAAAGCTGCTTTTCAAGGAGATCTCAGCAAGTACTGCAGTACAGTGTTGCATGCATATTGTTTCCTCCTAGACACAGAAGGCACTCACCAGGTACGGGGTTTACCTTACGGCACCATAAACATTTTTCTTAGCCAGACGGCAGCCTGGGCAACAACCATATCTCACATCTAGTTTTCCACAGAAGTGCAGAAGCTTGGAGACGGGATGAGGCCACAGTAGCCTCTAGCCCCCAGGCCTCTGCCTCCTCCTCCTCCTCACCCTGGGACGACTGCTTGCTGCTGTCTTCTCGGAGGCTCAAGGCAGAATTTTGCCCCGCATTCCTTCAACCACTTAACTGTCATCATGTAATTAATCCCAGTTCACAGCTCAATGCATTGGAATGCATTATGAAAACTGTTTTGAAACTGCTGGATATTCAGAAGTAATTTTTTTCAGTATTAATTTTGATAAACATTTCAATAACACAGAAACAAAAGCCTGCACAGACCCAGAAGTTTGTGAACACCAGGAGAGGCAAACTGCCCGCTAAACTTCTGTATCAGCGACTTCATACTGCTTTTAAGGGAGTGCCTTTCAAATTGTGCTGCTGTTCTGTTATCATTGTTGCCACAATATCCTGCGATGATAAACAACTTTTCTACCTCAAGACAGACATCCCCACCCAGCTCCCAGTAAAGACAAAGGAAATGATTTCCCTGAGAACTGGACTAGCTCTTATTAACTGCCCAATATAATTAACGCAGCTGAAAGAGTATGCCACGAACAGGCTGCCACCACAGCCAAGACTGGTGGAAAGCTGCCACCTCCTCCAAGGTGAATAGTCACCTACTTTGGCCTCCCCCTCTGTCTCTTTTCCTATCTCGTAGTTTTTAATTTAAAAGGAAAAAGCACTACTAGTGAAAGCCGTAGCCACAGAGGAGAGTTTCCAACTAGTTCAGATAAAGCAATTCACCAGTGCGTGTGCTCGCATCTGATTTCATGTGCATGAAGTTTATTACTGCTCAAGAAAAATACTGACTTGCCCTTCTATTTCCTTCTCAGTCACTATTTCCTTTTCAGCTATTAAAAAAAGATAATTACATATATAACTCTCTATATATGTGTCTTCAAATCAACCCCTGCCCTCCTCGGAGACACAGTACTAAAGAAATATCAGTGTTTTAGATAATTTTCTATAGCATTTGTTATTTACATCCATGCTTTGACAGCCTTACACGACAGTCAACAGGTCAGTTTAGAGCTGAGGCACTCATAACTGCCTCAGTGTCTTTATCCACTGCAAGAGACTAGCACACCGCGAACAGATTCAATCTGCCTTGTTCCCACCTGAAGAGACACCCCTTTATTACAGCCATCCCTTGCTTTCTGTGTTGCAGAGTTGCTAGGTTTTTTTAAAACATTTTAAAGCAAATCAGAGAAGACATTTTCTGTAAATATGAGTAGTCTTCTTTTACCACACCTTACCCTTGTCTCTTGCAAGTTCTCAGAGTTCTCCACTATACCACTATCGTGTAAATGCAGTACAAACTTCTAAAGAATAGGAATCTCTACTACCTCAGCAGTGAAATGGCAAGGTATGGCTCTGTAAAGACCTGAAATACCAACCAGTACATTGGGATATATTGATACATAACAGTATCCATCCTCCTTGTCAACTACTGATCCCAGTGTACAACCTGTTCTGTGGTACTTGGATGTCTCTCAGATGCAAGCAGACAAGGGGAAAGCATGAAAACATTTTTTAAAAAAGCCAAAGAGTTACCATTTGGATCTTGATTAAAATGCCTCCTGGCAATGAAGGGTCTAAGAGGAGCAGGTTGTGATGAGATACGTCTCCCCTCTCTTCACCTTGAATGCAGAAAACTCAGCACCAAAGGCTGAGTAGTAGGGGCCAACCTGGGATCACCCCTTGCCCTGCACACCCCCACCAAGGCAACTGTACCTTCTGCCAAAGGGTCACCACACGATGTTGACCCTGCAGCCCAAAGCCATTATCAACTCTATGCAGAGGAAATCTTCCAGACTAGTGGGAGAAGGCCAGAGGCTGCATAATAAGTGTGGGAAAAGGAACCAGCCAAGATGAACGAAACCAGAAGGAACAATCAAACTCGTGTCCTGGTTAAACAGAGCACAAACAAAAATGCCCCTCAGATTTTTTTCTTTTAAACTGTATTAAAAAATCAAAATATTTTTAGGCACTGAACACATGCCAGAGAAATGTGGGTATTCAGAAATATATCAAATAAATTGATGAAGTTCTAACAAGAACAGATGATGAAGAAACGAGTCTACAGCTTACAAAACATGAGAGCACAGAATTATCAGAGAATCACTATCAAATAACGGAATAAGTCATCTATTGTAAAATAATATTCAGCTACCAATGGACTGGTAGTCTCAGCAATCCAAACAGTCCCATCAGGTACTTGTCTTACACTTTCTGCATCACTTGACTGCTTACACAGAAGAGGAGGAGAAATACGTGGAAACTGGCCATGAAGTTTTAGTGACGTCTATGTTTCTTGTACCTGCAGCATTGGCAAAGCTCTAATGTACTTTGTATTTCACGAGATTATTAATAAACTGACATTCCCAACTTACCTAGAAAGTATTCCATTATGGGATTAAGTACTTTCTGCCCCTTTTTCCCATATTGATTGCACCCTGCATCCCAGCACTGCCAAAACCAGCCCAGCAGGGAGCCCTGCTGCACAAACTCTTCAGAGTCTCCAAGGATTTCCTAGCTTCTGGACAGATAAACACAGATTCCCACAAATACTAAATCTGTTCCAAATGTTTTCTTCTCACTCCCCCATCTCCAGTCTCCCCGGAGCTACACCCACAGAGAGTTATAAATACAACCCTGTATTAGGGACAGGAAGCGCTGATGAGGCAATTTCTTCACTTTCAAGAACTAAATTTTCAGTTAATCACTGCTTTTGACCATCAGTGTTGTCAGATGCCTTAAAGGAAACAGGTTTGTGGCTATTCAAAATTTCACCGAGCCACTGATGTCAGCAACCAGGCACTCACAAATTACAATGCCTCGAGAATACTTTGGTCTCTACACGTTGTACCTATATTTGTCTTGTCTGTTGGGCATTTTTGGAATGGAAGGTGTTGCTGTATAAATATGTCAGGAAGAAGTTTGTTTTCCAACTAACAAACCTTCCTTCCAGATAACTTTGCAAGAAGTTATTTTTTTATAGTGGACATTTAGCAGCACTGTCTGTTTACAGTGCAAAGCAACTAAAGCTTTTCATTCTTCTCTACTGTGTTCCAAAAAAAAAACAAACCCAGGCACAAAAATACATCTACATTCAAGGTTTGCAACAACAAAGAATAGAATGCTGGTCTTGGACATAATGGATAAACCAGTTCAGTACCTTTTGGAAGACATAATGTAAAAAGTACATCAAGCTAGTCAATATGATACAGAATTCTTTGCATCCCCTATAAAGTGTTCAACAAAGAAAGCAAAGCCATCATTTGCAAGACACTTTGAAAATCCAAGCTTACCGCTTATAATCAAAGCTAATCTGAAACATGCTTTAAAGGGGAACCTAAGCAGCAGTAGACTCAGTGTTATTCAAGCATATCTTAAGTCTCCAGACTGTTCCAGTAGGAAAGAGAAGCTCTCATTTTTTATAATTCAAATACTTCACATCTTATTATAGGCCCTATTAAAATGCCTTATAGACTGTTGTAAATGTCACAGAAAGCATTTACAGCCCTCTGTGTAGATGTAAAATGACACTGCAAGGTTTATAACAGTGTGTGCCAAACAGCATTAATGCTGCTAATTGACACAGGAGTACTCCTACGTGAAAAGAAAGAAAAAGAAAAAAAAAAAAGACACACAAACATATTCCTTCAGAGGAAGCATTCATCTGAAACAATTTTTTTGTTTTATGGGTGCTTATGTACAGTAGAGCCAACACTACTGCAACACCACTGAAAGAGGTGGGTCTGTATAAGGACCATCAACTGAAACCACATTGGAACACAAGACCGGTGCTTGAATTTGATGCTGATCCCACCTCCAGAGATTTCTAGTGAGAGTGGCATTTCACACTCAGACACAATGGCCATCATTTTTTATAAGTGACCATTAACTTTGAATGCCTTCAAACTTGGTGAGAACCCGCTCTCTGAGAAAACTGGCCTCTACGTTGTCTCATGCTGGACAACTTGCAAAAAATATTAACTACTGTTTTTTAACATTTTGGGTAAATTCTACAACAAACTGTCTCCCTCTTGGCAATTTTCCTAAAACCCATCTAGAACAAAGTCCCATGCTTTCCACATCTTCCAGGTGAAATAAAATCTTGGTCTCAGACTAACTTTTAGCAAATACGCAGGCTTACCATCAGCACTGACATCCTTGTTTGATAAGTCATAGAAAACTCTGGGCATTGGGCAAAGCAAAAATCACAAAATGAACTTAAAGATCAGCTTTGTCCCTCTCCCAAGCCATAAAATACATAAACAGGAATTTGAGATGAAAGCACAAGCCACCAAAGCCAGCGCACAGAGTTTGCCATGTGAAGGACTACAGCTTCCACGTGGGTGCAGCGACGCTAGTCTTCTGTACAGCCAGCTCACAGACGGAGCAGTAGCGCATAGGAAAAAGCTGGATGTATCATGCAATTTAGGTTTAAAACAATATAATTTTACTTGAAATGGGTATCTTAAATTACAGGATATGCTAGGGAAAAAAAATCCCATACAATCTGAATTAACATTTCAGTTTCTCTGAGCTACCATCAACCATACAAAAGTGAAAACAGACAATGAGGTTATAGGGCTGTTCTCTTGCCTGTAATTTGGTTGCCACTTTGCAGTAACATTCTGTGATTTAGGTGAAAAAGAAACCCAGATCTTTTTCATTTCTAAAGAGAAAAGAAACTTCAGAAGTTTTAAATATCTGAATCAGCATTTCAGAGACGGAAGGACACTCAGCAGACTGCTGTCTCCTGGGAGTTGAAGTCTACTCACCTTTCCTTGACTTGGTCACTGCCAGCTGGTGAGAAGCTGGAACATGTGGTAGATCCCCCTCTGTACTCTGGATCTATCAGGAAAAGCAGATTAAAATTTTGTCAGGACAACTGGAATATGTTCCTGCGTTTAAGAATGCCCAAGATATATACACTGCACATGCAGGGGCAGGGGGGAGGAGGGGACGGTTTGGTGGGCTTTTTCTTGCCATTCCAACAGCCTATAATGATTGAGGGAGTAAATCGCATTTCCTTGAACGGAAGTATTTCATCAGGTCCTCAGCAATGCCCCCGTCGGACAACAGCGATCCTTCGGACAGCACCTCCCTCTCACGGCGCAGGGCTCCCCTCCAGTTACACGTCGTGCAACAAGACCAGGAAATGGCATCCTGTGACCCCACTGAGAGCTCTCCGCTCCTCCTTGACGAAAGCCTGAAATAATTGTGTGATAATACCTTTGACTATCTTTACACTACTGTTGAGCACTCTCAGACCCTCCCTTGAATATAAAGAACAAGCAAAATACATTTAGGTCCGCACTTAAGGATTGTCATCTGCTGCCCTACCACGTTTTTCCCACAAGCCACCAAACCTCCAGAAGGACCCAGACCCTGCCAGAACTGACTCCAGACTTCACCACACCACTACTCATGGAAATACTTCTTGTGTCTTCCCGGAGAAAAAAAAAAGATAACGTATTCAGAGCCATGCCAATTTCAACTGCGAAACTTAAAACTACATGAAAATTAATCCTATTACTTAATCACTTTGTGAAACACAGCCTTATTAAGAAAGCAGTTCTTAGACAACCGTTCAAACAATGACAAGAACATGCCTAAAATCTCAACAGGGAGGCCTTTGTTTAGTTCAAAAGCTAGAATATTTTCTCTTTTGTGTGCTACAGAAAAAATTCTAATGGTTCACATGCAAGTCTACACGCACAAAAACCCCAATCCAACTACCCCACCCCCAGCCCTTCCCTCTAATGGGCTGCCTGCCTAAATTCAAAATTACCACGCAATGAAATTTTCATCTCCATTTTTGATCAACTTAAAAATGCAAAACCAGGATACTGATGGCTTTAAGCCCATATCGGCATTTGGCTAAAGCAGCAGCTATATTCGCATTGATATCGTGTGTGTAACAGCCACAAGGGCACATTTTCTTTTTTACAGGAGTTTTGAGAAGTACTTGGCCTGAACTTTTCGCCATTAGTAAGTGAACAGTGTTTCTCTTAAACAATAAATCAAGAGGCTTCTGTTCCTTTAGGAGATGAAGGCTGTACCAAAGGGGTAAATGCTTTACAGAATCACTGAATGGTAGGGGTTGGAAGGGACCTCTGTGGGTCATCCAGTCCAACCCCCCTGCCGAAGCAGGGGCACCTGACTCCACAACCTCCCTGGGCAGCCTGTGCCAGTGCTCCGTCACCCTCAGAGGGAAGAAGTTCTTCCTCAATGCTTATTTTGTCCAAATGCAGGGGAGCATAGAAGAGGCTTACCATCTAAAAATACCTTTTAAAACAATTTTTAAAAAATAACAGAAAAAAAAGGGAACAGTAAGTAATCTTACAGGCCCTTTGATCGGACTGGCCTTCCAGCAAGGTGTCTTGATTGTCTCAAACTTCCCAGTTTCCAACGGCTGAATTTGCAGCCTTGCAACAGCTAAGCCTCTTTCTCATCTAAATACCCTCCACCTCCTGCCCTTGGTGAGGAGACAGCATCCTGGCCGTGTTCGCAGCACGGCGCAGCTCGATGAGCACGCACAAGCACTCCCCTCTCCTTCCCCGTCCCTCCAGCCAATACTGATGCTGGTAAACGACCTTCGGGACTGTAACTGGCCACCTCGGGAGCGGGTGTTGGGGGAAATCCTGCCCTGACTCACGCCCGCACTCGCTATCTTCACAGCCACAGACTTCCGAAGGGCGCTCAAATCTCCAAGGCATTCGTCAGCATGGAAAGAGCTTCCTTGATATATCTGTCATCTTTCTTACGTGTATGAATGCACTCCAAGCCAAGCTGAGAAAACAGGGGGAGGAGTTATTGTCACTGTTTCTAAGACAGTTTATTGTTCATTATACCCTGCTTAGAGACGCAAGAAAATAAAATCACGCTGCCAGGTATTGTTCTAAGTTCCTTCAACAAAACCGAATTCCTCCCTCCCAGCGATCTGAAGGCAGTTGATATGTCTATATCATATTGTGTAAACAAAAAATCACCACAATCCCATCCCACATCACATGTCATCTTGCCAAAACAGCTGTGTTTATGCACTGGCATCATTGTAAAGTGTGTCAACCAGAACTTTGCAAACTCATTGCATTTGGCTTGTGCAGAATTCAGTCAGTCTTCTTCGTGTCATACAGTCCAACTTCCTCTGAAAGAAAATTCCATTTCCCCCCCCCCCACCCCCCCTTTTTTTTTTTTAATTAATTGTTCCCATTTTGCCCAAGAATACCAAAAACTGGCTTTCTCCTCTGGGATATGTGAAACCAGTCCAGATACCAAGAATATAGCAAAATGCATTGCCACTCAGTCCCTCCCATTGTGCCAACGCAAACATCTGTGCAGCTACACAACAAACTGGATCAAGAAAATTATCTGGCTGAAAACTAAGCCAGGAAAAATAAATCAATCATAATACACTGGGTTTCTTTCTCCCCTCTCAATTGGACCAGTCCTTTGTTCCGACTCCGAAGATGGCAACACAACATGTGGGTGATGGCACTCAGGCACAAACAAGTGGCAGGAACTACGAGGGACTGAATTACCCCTTTCTACTTCATGAGTGCCTTCAGTTACAACATTAGCCAACCTAGAGGAGCCTCAAAAGCCTCTAGTGCCAATACAACATTAGATGTGGTATCTACTAAATCATCATTTCCTCATTCTCTGTAAAACTCTGGGGTTTTTTTTATTCACTTGCTTTCTTCACTCATTTCACTAATTAAATCACAATTCTTCATTTTACATATATGTATTCCACACAGATAAAAAGTTAACTGCTGAACTGTTAACAATTGCCACTTCAAAATGTGTCCACAAAAACACCTGCTGATTTAAGTTAAGGTAGATCTTAAAAATCAAGGTGTGAGTCTATGCAAAAAATTGCATTCTTGAATTTGTAGGCTGTGCATTTACTAGCCTAATAAATCACTTGCAGAAGCCTAGAATTAACATCTCTTTCTGACAATTCTCAATCAAAAAAATGGATACATGCATTTATGAAGATATTAACAGGCAGCTAGCACAGAATGTGTATCTAAGCAATTGCCAAAGGCACAACAAACAGCAACTTCCACTGTGCTAATTTCCAGAGAACAAACAAATCAACATGTAGCAGATTGCCATCAAAACCAAAAGTTGCACAACATGAGCACCTCACCCTACTTGACAGTCCCTTTCCCTTTCCTGGAACAACACTCTAGCTCCATCCACAAATTTATCCTTAAATCAGTATCACTTGATAAACTGAATTTACTTTTAGGCATCAAAAAAAAAAAAAAGATTTCCAATTAGCAATTTCAGCAAAGAAAAAATTTAAAACCAAAGGCTTTTATACCTATAAAGGCAAACCTAGACCTATTTCCACAGGAAAAGTTCCTAGCAGTTTCACCAGTGACTGCAGTTACCTGAGCTCAATGGAAAAAAAGAATGAGAACTTTCCTGCTGACTCTCAGGAACAACAGCAGCAGCAGCCCCAAGTTATTTCATTAAAAGGGTCAATTAGAGCAGCCTACCGAAAGCAGGCGACAACCGTTCTATCACTCGGAGAATTCAAAGTATTCCTGGAGAAAACATTGTCAGCTACACAGTAGCGAACATAACTTGCTGGCTGCCAGCAGAGGAATGTAAACTGTATGCAAAAACGAAGTCATCTATCTCCACCTACCTCTTCCATCTCAAAGGAGTCCTTCTGCTGCAGTATTAGATTCATTATGGATGGGTTTGCGAGGGGAGTGCAGAGGTCTCTCCCCGGCGATGCCGTGGGTAGCCTTTGTGTCAAGACGCTGCTGTTGGATGTGCTGGAGCTGCTGCTGAGGCTCGGCGAGTCCAAAAGCACCGATTCCTCACACAGTCTATCCTGGGCGTTTTCCAACCTGCTGCTTTGCGCATCTGCTGGAGGCACAGTACCCTCTCGCTTATCATCAGTCCCAGCAGGAAGGTTTGCAGGTTTACGTGTGTCCGCAGCATTTGCCTGACTACTGGCTATCTCCTCTTTCACAGTAGCCAGAGAAGAGGGAGAGTCTTTCTTTTTAGGGTATTTTGGTAATTTAGATTCATTTTTCACATCATTTTCTTCGCTCCCTGGTTCAGCTGGACTCTTCCCTTTTTCAACAGGTGAAGGAGTTGAGCAGCCGCTACCATCGGCTTGCTGTGTGCCGCACAGATTGAGCTTAGACAAGGTCTTCATTAAGCGACTGGCTGTATTGCTGCGATTTAAAGGCGGGGGGCTGGATGCCTCTTTGCTGGAAGACACTGAATTCATACTACCAATCTTCTGCAAAGGAGTCCCAGAGACTTGAGAATACAAAGAAGAAAAAGCATTGGCCACAGTAGTAAGCACTTCAATCTGACGAAAACGACCTGCACAAGAACAAAACATATGGCAGAGTTTATGAGGACACTGCTGTCATCAACATCCCAGACCTGCTGATCTACCTCTACATGACGGTTTGAATTCTCAGAGACAGCTCCTTCTTCATATCTGAAGAAGGAATTTTCATTATAACCTCTGCCCACCCCCAAATCTCCTCCTACTTATATCACGGGTCCCAAAGTTTGACTGAACACTGCCTAGTCCTGTAAGATGAGTGGTACCACATAGGGTGAAAAAATGCAAAAAGTCTTTGCAAGAGTGTTTGGTAAATGCACAAGAACAGCAAGGAAAACTCTCACAAAGTAAAGAAAAAGGACACGGGTACATGAGTGCAAGTTAATTTACAAAGCGCTAGGAAGAAAAGGGTTACTCACATCGTTCTCTCCATCAACATCAGGAGGACATTTCAGCTATGCCCTCCTTTCAGCAACGCTCATTACTGACCTAACAAAGCTCCTGTCCCACTCAATAGAAATACTGGCCCAGATTTCAACAGCTACAAAGTAGGTCACTGCTGACAGATTTCAAAAATCCCACCCAGATACTGAAGAACACAAGAAAAAGACAGAGCGCGCTATTTGTTTCAGTGCTCTAAAGCTACAACAGAAGGCAAGCATAGGAGCAAGCTGCAGGAATGATACAAAACAGAAGGCAATGTATCTTACGGGATGACTTTCATTTCCGTCCCCCACTACAAACCCTTTCCCCTCACCCCAAGGTGTACAACATTGACGGTCACCTCTTGCCATATTTAAGACTAAGCAAGAGTTTTGTTATGTATTTTGGATGGAATGTGGCCTTTAGACTGTAAAGGGGTTTTGCCAGAATACAAGACACACACCTTCTGACGTTGTTTACACAGTTCAAAAACTAAAAATAAACTTGCTTCAAGAACACACTTACTTGTCAAAGCAAAATTTGGATTCTCCACTTCCATGCGCTGTATTTGAGCATTCAAAAACACTTTGATATCTATCCCTCTGGCAAAAGATGATGAATTAAAAAATCTTGCTGGAATTTTTGACGCAATATCTGGTTCATCTCTTCCAAATCCAAGGTTATAGAGCACTTCTTCGGGATCTTCCTCATAAAGTTCCAGTAATTCAGAAACACTAGACAAATGAAAAGATGTTTACTATCTACTTGTCTCTTTTCAAGACCCAATCCCCTCTGTCCAACTGCTAATTCAGCCCAGTAGCCAGCTTGGTCTATTGAACTTCTGATTCTTACAGCTCAATCTACTTTAGGAAATCATTGTGGAGATTTCTGCATCTGAAGTTTTGGTTCACATCACCAGAGACATTGGCCCAGACACATCTCAGATTCAGTCCTGTAATTTAAAATCTCAGACATTTCTAACGTTTGGGCACATTTGTTAGCATTTACTGCAAACCACAACTAAAAATGAATAGCAGTTTTTCAAGCAACCAAATGAAAATTCCCTTCTCGGCTACTAAATGCAATAGTGCACATAAATCAAGCCAAGTCCATTTAACTGAGCCACAGAAGAACTAGGTTTTGCCAGCAAAATGCAGCCAAACTCTACTGAACTGTGCCATGACCTTCAAAGCATAGTACTCTTTTACCTTGAAACAGTCGCACTGCTTTTTCCAGAGCCGGTGGAGTTCATACTTCTCCCCTTTTGGTGGAACTGCAGCCTCCTCTCCTTCGCCAGCACACCATTGCTGTCAACACAAACGGAGAAGACCCCTGTGATAAACCCCTTTCGCTTGGGGACTCGATTCTCCGTCTCGGAGGAGAGCTAAGTCTCCAGCACCGCTGAATTTCTCTCTTCCCCTTCAGCGTTATCTGGTTTATATTAGCCATGTCATTTATTGAAATACAATAACAAAAGCGAACCCTGGGACGCCTCAGTAAAAATGTACGTAGACGGCAAGAATTTCAAGGCAAATGCAAGCTGAATAAACAAATCCCTGATCTCCCCTTGCTGCCCCACCCTCCCCGATCCCACCCTCCTCCGGCAAGAAAGCCCGGCCTCGGGTGAGCTGCCCTGTCCTGCCTTTCCCTGTGCCGCTGCCTCCTCCAGCCGGACCACCTCTCCACGGCAGGACCACCTCTCCATCCCTCGGGTGCCCAGCTCACCCTCACCCTTGGCTGCCACACGCACAAGGCTGTGAGCTGCCCCAGCAGCGGCCGGGGAAGCTGAGGAGGCTCCAGGCTGGAGGAAACGGAGCAAGGCAAGTTCCAACCAAGACTGCCAGCCAGTTTCTTTCCCAATCCCGAACTATTTCCTCCCTGCATCTGGAGAAGCTGCCTTAGCATTAGGTGGTACCTTGGTCTCAAAAGTACTGTTACTGACAATCTCTCTGGGGGACAAACCTGCCCAGGGTGAATTTTACTATACAAATCATAATATGCACTCCTCCAGAAAAAACACCACGAAACCAAAGACGACAGAGGATTCACCTAAAAGCGCATTTAGGGGGCCCAGCTCAGAAGGGGTAGCGAGGATGAGGATGTTGCCCACACGGGCTGTGCTGGTATCTGCTGAAGGCTCAGCAGGAGTATTAGTCACAGCACATTTTATTTAGAAGTTCTCCCTATAAAGCAGGCTCTCTCAAAATCTTTTTTTTCCCCCACTCTCAAAGGATATCTGCTCTGAAAGGTAAAACTAAGTTTCCCTTGAAATTTCTGAAACGGCAAGGAATCAGTGAGGCAAAGAAGGTAAATCACATTAAGTTACTTAGAAGCTTTGGTATTTCTCTGTTTTCCTCCTGCTACCCCAGAGATCTACATCAGGTCTGCCTGAAGAATAAAAATCTGCGCTTTTTTCCTGCACTTCGTAATGACTGTTTCTGTGGTATCTGGATCTTCTCTTTTCCTCTCATGTAAGCTGACACGACCAGAAGAGCTTTAGCTCTGAGGTAGCTTCCACGACTTCCACTGCCCTCCCTCCCTCCCACCCTCCAGCATAAATATTTCTCTGAAGTAAACAAGAACAAAAAAAGATGTGTACCATGTTTCCATTTGGGTATCACTCCGTAGATGATTAGCTGTAAGGAAACAAGAAGTTGTTACACATGGACATCTTCAGAAGTACTCTTGCCGCAATGGGTTTGAAGAAGCAGGCAGCAAATACGTTTACCAAGACTCCCACATAAGCCAAGTTTTTCTCTTCTCATATAAATATGATTGTCAAGTGTTTCTAGTATACAGCTGATATAAAGACAATCTGGTTTATTCAGTCTCTGTTTAAAATAAAATCTCACGTATTTACATAATGTCATTAATCCTATTAACTTGAATTTTTACATGTAGTAAGCTAGTAATTATTATATAAACCATTTATTGCTTTGCAATTGAAGACGCGATTACCAGCTGCCCAGCTGTTCCTGGGCAGGAAGGGGAGGAGGAGAAGCGGGCACGTGAGGATTGCTCCGGTAGAGAAAGTAAAGAGCGTAAGAGAGGCAGCTGGTCCCCCGGCCAGGTGCTGAGACGATATCTGTTAGTCATTACAGCAACACAGTCTGCTCCTGAAGTGGGGCAGGACCCCATCTGCCCAAGCAAATGGGACCAGCGGCTGTGCTCAGAGGCGAGCGGGCTTTGGAGGGGGCCGGCTGCCAGATACCAAATACCTGGTCCCCACCCTCCGACAGGGAAGCCAGCACCTTCTGCAGCTGGATCAGCCCAGCTCCACATGAGAACTTCCCAGGTAGCATTATTCTTTCAGAAAATCAACACCCTGTCCAGCCAGCGAGTTGAGCACCAGCCTTAAATTATGGGTTCCCCGAAGAGGTGACTCAACATTAACAAACTTGCCCCCGGAGACAGACCAGGAGCATGCACATGCTATAGCAGCCCTCAGAATTAGCTACAAAAAGAGCAAAGAGATGTCAAACATGCTGCCAGGAAAACCCTGCATCCCGACTCACTGTGCCACTAGGGTATAGTCAGCAACAGAGAGCAAAGATGGAAACCTCACCACCTCTCTCCTCTTTTCACAGGCATCACGAAGAAATTGAAATGTATACAGAATGCAGATGCCACATCTCTTTTTTTTTTTTTTTTTTTAATTTGCCTGTAATGTGAAGGTCAGCCTATCTACATGGATTAGCTGGCGACTAGTGTGACCAGCTAAACCATGGGTTTTAACAGCTCAGCAGGGGGCTGGGGTGGCAGGACCCTGCCCGATGGCCTCCGTACCACTCACATGGGGCTCTGGCTTGTATCTGGACTCCGGCAGCCCCGGACGCACAAGGGCAGGCCATTCATACCAGCCTCAAAGGGGCTGTCTGTCTGGCAGGGCGAGCAGCATGGCTCCAAGCAGCACTGTTGTCCCCTTGTTCTCAGATGGGAAACAAAGCTCTGCAGAAGCACCCGCGTCCTTACCCAGGAAAATCAACCAGCAATTCTAGTACTGGGACCTTTGTCATCTGAAAAGGAGGGAAACAACCTTCTGCCTACATCATGCTAAAGGCTCATAAAAACCAGAAAACCTTGGGAATGATAAGGGGAAAAAATCAAAAGAAAAAAGTTAGCTAATGTTTTAAAATGTACTGACTCTTGCATTATTGGCCCTATGCTGAGAGCTTGGATTATTGTTATAAAGAAACTTTTCCTATGAAATCTTTGTACTGCAGGCAATCTAACAAACGGAAAAGACTGACAGAAAGAAAATGTAATCCTTTTTAATCTATTGCAGTAAGGGACTCATTTACTGCTTCTCCATCATTATCAGATCAACTGTTTCCTTAGAAGTCTTGAATCTTTAAAAAGTAAAGATATTTCCTTCCTCCAGGCCCCATTCCCACTACTTTGACGCCACTGGCAAGACTGCTGTGGAGAAAAAGGCTTTCTACCATACAAGTTCTGATACTTTGCAAAAAGCTGTTGTTCAAAACTCATCAGAAGCTAAAGGAGGGGAGTGATTTTGCCTGTTTTGCCTTTTTTTTTTTCTTCACACACTGAAAACAGACATTGTCTTATATCCCCTATCCTGCAGATAATGCCAGGACCCAGTTTGTGATACTGTTTTTATTTTATTTCAGGATGCTACTGTTAGAACAGGATCCACAGTGCTTTTCTTTGTTTGTTTGTTTATGGACACCTCTAACCCATGATCAACAGTGAGGCTAAAAGTCTTTTTCTGACAAATAAGTCCACCATGAACAGCCACATCTCCTTCCCCTTAAAAAAGGGAAGAGAAAGAAAAGGCAAGCAGCTAGCGACAGCAAAGTGTGTCTCGTGGCTGATCCGAAATACTCAGCTTTGGTGCTTTTCATTTTCAAAAGCACTTAGCCCTTAATGGGTTTGTCTCTTGGCCAACAGAAATTCACTCCTCCTTTCAAAAGCCCGCACATGCCACTCCCAAGGGATTCAGTGGAAGTGGGGCATGCACGGCTGCCAAGAGCAACCCATGGACAAGAAGAGCAAGTAGGAGAAACCACTTTCTCACAGCCTCAGTGAGTGCTCCAGGCTGTGCTGCCACTGTGGGCATTAAAATGATAAGGCAGAAGCGAATTCAGGGATGACTCTCACCTTCAGGTTAGACCAGAATGTTCAACACCAGTGATAGTCTAATAAACTCAAAAAGCAAATCTTCCTGCATTTTTCTAGGTGCTTCATGCTAGTTTTCTACCCATCTTTATCAACTGCTTTCGACCAGAAGGGAAATGCTGTCTTTCAACATAAAAATCAGACAACTGAACATTTTTTTTTTCTTTTTTCTAGAAAAAGAGTCATAATCCTGCCACACCCACCTTCAGCTCCCAGGGATAAGTCATCTTCGAAACTTCCTCCATTTCTCACCAGCATGCCTGAAAAACATACAGTTAGCAGTTCAACAACCACAACACTGCAGTGTTTTCTTTCCAACAGCTTAACTAAGGATATTAGCACGACACTTCAGTTGATATAACCAGACTGTCTTTACAATCTCTGCATTACTCATACACTAAAAACGCCCTAAGAAGTGAGAAGTTACATTTGAGAACACAGAAAAATTCTTTTGAAAGAGAACAACTACAACACTGCTTTAGTGTTGTGCTCAGAAACATCCCCAAGTGAATCTGCAAGCAAATTAATTGCCAGGGGGACCCTGGAGGTACCACCCAACAGATCTGTGCCTTCTGCTGCTCCACCATCTATCTTCCAGATACCTTACCAGGAGGATCCAGAGTTTGAGTCCGGCTTAGGCACTCCCCTCTCTCCCCATGTTACCACATTAAGAGTTGAAGCAAAGACTCCAGGCACAGCAAGTAATTCCTCTGCACCCTGTCACTACCTGCACTTTCTCATTGTACTTTGAACTCTAGTATTCAGACCTGCTCAGATAGTAAAATTTTCAGGTGTGGCAACCAGAGTTATTAGAGGCAGAGACTGCCTAATGCTCGCCAGCTCAGAGAATAAATTACAATCTCTTTGTTCTGCACATTTTGGGGGTTTTTTTAGTGCTTACTAAACTCTCCAGAAAGACTAATTCAGGATCTTTTCCCCCTTCTCCAGTCTCTCAGGCACAACTCCTTCACAGTGAGAATAGCTCAGCAACGCCGACTAGGCTGTGGTTTGTGCCGCTGCTGAAGAGCCGAGGTCTCAGGTGAACGTCCGCAAAAGCACAGTTCCCAGGAAAAGAGATTTCAGTAGGTAAAGCCTTTCCTTACCCTTCAACAGAGGATTGCTTTGCTCATCCAGGGAGGCTCCCAGAGGCGTTCTGAAACCACAGAAGAGATTAATACTACTTTAAAAACTTGCTGCTTCATGTCCTTCCTTACAGTGTGTAACAAGCTTGTGATAGCAGCAGTTGTCCCTCCCTCCGCCCCCAGAAAGCACAAACATCTGAGGACTGGCAGTAACTTCCTAAACAATCCCCAGCCCTCTGAACAAATATGCCTTGCAGGAAAAAACAACAAAACAGGTTAATAACAACTGCAACGCTCAGACACCAGTCAGTGGCAAACCTTCGGGGTCAGCAGTCCTCTCTTGAGGAAAATCATCGGCTTCTCAGCAAAACACCCAGAACAAATGAATTCATCTGTTCAAAAGCCCACAGTCAATCTCATTTACATGACAAAAACTGCTGCCATTTTCCTACGTATTTAAAACTTCTTGAAGAGAGAGATAAAAAGCTGCACTTGGTGATCAGGAACAAGACAAAAATCTTGACAGCTTTGTTACCTGTCACTTGCCAGTTCTGATAATTTACAGACTCTTCACGTTGGCTCTCATTTGGATGATCCCTCCTGTGGCTGCTCCCAGATGGGCAGGGGATTCACTGAACCTCCGGGTGCCCAAAAGGAGCAGCAGCAACCGCACAAATGACAGGTCCTGTCCCTCTCTGGGTTCACGCTACAGTTGTTGACACTAGCTGGATGGTTCCACATCTTGTCTCCCAGACTCGTTTAACCAAAGGCCTGTCACTATTAAGTAGCGCAGCATTAACTCTCAAAGCCCAAAGCAAATTGAGAAATACAATACTCATAAAGAAGGGGAAAACAGATGATTTATGTGCCTGTATTATGTATGTTTCATTTGGGTTTCTAATTACACAAACACAAACCTGCTCAAAGACCTAAAAGCAAACAGTGCTCTGATACTTTATTTGCTTTGGTGCCATGGCCAAATTGAGCAAGGAAAGTTTGCATCTGCTTTCTAACAGGCTTTACACTTCACAATCTTATCCCCCCCCCCAAAAAAAGAGTTCCCTCTTTCCACATGCGGCCTGCTGATAAGCAAGCTCACTCCGACGTGTCTTCTGCGAAGCAAAGCAAAGCCCCGCCGCGGTGGGACCCCAAGGCAGCCAGCCAGAGCATCCCGGTGCACCAGCGTGTTTCGGGTGACGGGACAGCCCCTGCCGAGGCTCCGACCGCCCGGGTTGGTTCCTGCGTGTCTGTCCTGTCAGGGTCTGAAAAAACTTAGGGCATCTTGTCTAAACCTGTCACACTACAACAAGCCTTCCGTTCTGAGGTAATAATTAGGCCGGTTGTTTACTCTCTGGCTTTGATGGGTGCCCTCCCATCCTTTTCTCTCTCCTTCCTCCGTAGCGACTTCCACGTCTCTACCTTTTCGATGCAGAAACTTGCTGGCAGCGACTTTGACAGCCAAGGTCACGCACCGGCTGGCAGAAAACAGTAAAAGCAACCACCAAAGCTGGCACTGTCCTTCAGAAATTAGGTCCGTCACCTCTACAGCATGTTAGCAGCTACCAGAAAAGCAGCCCTGTCAGACACCGGCCCGCTGCCCCGCTCGCCCTGCTGCCCGCAGGCACCGCCGCCCGAGCAGCTCTGCGCCCCGGGGCAGGGTGGGGCTGGGGCCTTTCCTACTCGCTGGGCCCTCGGGACGAGGTCTCCCTGCCGGGGGGGGCATCACAGCAGGACCCCCACACATCCCAGCAGCCTTCGCACGGCAGCTGGGGAGGGAGGCCAGCAGCAACCAGAGGGAAGCCACAGCAAAGAGCAAGCAAACAGGCGTGTGCCTGGAACTAGGGTTTTCTATTTGCATTCACTCCTTTATCACTGTATTTTAACATACATGGCAATAACTTATCTCAATACTGGTCTACACAAGAACTGAACGGCCTCTCGATGCCCACACTGCCACGGGACACGGGCACGGAGCAGGTAAGGGGACCATATATAGCCTCGGGGCTTCCTCTCATTCCAGCGGCTGGTTTGCTCAGCTAACAGCTGTGGTAGGGTGGTCTTCAGGAAGGGGACAAGGGTTTCGCACTGTACTGTAAACGTGTTTAAACCTCAGCTTTTAAAGCCTTAATTGGGCAGGAGCCATGTTTATTTTAAACTTGAAGCAAAAAATCTCCTTTCTGAGGCATTTCAAGAGCTCCCTTCCTGCATATCTACAGGAGATGGCTCCTAAATGCCTCCCGCATCCCCTGTGTTACTGCCAGAGTTTAAATACACTCCATCAAAATAACACGTCACCACAGAGTTGACAAAAATTTCTTCTTTTCTATCCGTATAATACAAACACTTGTGTTTCCTGTCTCAGCTTTACAAGAGTTAAAATTAAAACCCTTTCTAAGCTTTTGCATTACTTCAGAATGCCTTTTCAAAGCACCAGGAAGAGAGCAAAGGATGCCCTTCTCAAAGGCATGTGATTTCCAACACACAAATCAACCAGAAAGTTTGGGTAATATCTGACACTTCTTAAGCCTCCATAATTCTTATCACAGTTTGATGTGTGCTTGCCTTTTTTATTTTTTGGTTTTGCTGTTGGTTGGTCTTTAAAAAAAAAAACCAAAGAAAACCCAACAACAACAAACCCCATGTGTCTACCAAGTCAAATAGCATGGGATATTAAGAACACTCCTCTCTCCTCCAAAGCAGATGTGAAACAGAGATGCCAAGTAATAAGAGCCCCAAACCGCTAACATGAATGTCAAGGGACAGCTAGTAATTCTTTTTTTTCATATTATAACACTGTCGATGCTTTTGGAAACAAACAAAAGAATAAATCTTATAAGCAGATCTACTTAGGCAGTGGGTTGATATTAAGTTTTTTTGTGCCGCTGCCAACTCAAACCAGAAAATGAGATTTTAAAAGTGCTAATTTTCTTCTGATGTACATTTCACAAAAGCTTATAGAAACTCAGACAAAACAGGAAGGACTGCATTTGGAAAACATGTAACAGAGAAAATACTTTATTTTAGTAACTGAATGTTCACCTGTAGTAATGGTTACATTTTTTGCACCAAACCTAACTTGTAAGAATGAGGTGGTGCAATGGACCAGAAACAGAAGCTCAGTCTGCCTGTGCTGCCCACGCTTTGTAGCAATCCGAGCTCCACAGCTAGAACAGTGTTATTAAACAAATAAGAATCCTCAGGACAACAACTGTAAATTTCACAACAACTGTTGGTTTTAAGTACTCTTTTTTAAACAACACACTACAGTATTTGTAGGGCTATTCCGTCATCTGTTATGCTCTCCTCTTTTCCTATATACGTTGTTATCAACAGACAATCAGTTCAGGGTTTCTATACACACAGCCACTTTAAAACAGTGCAAGTCGAATAATCATTTTACAGCATACACTAGCTACTGCTCCCAAGTACATTAGACACACACACACACAAAAGAAACCGTTCTGCAACTTTAAAACACAAGGGAGTGTGCACTACTCCAGGCAGCTGGATCGCACCTCCCAGATATGAACCGTATATGCACACACTTTGCACATTCCAGAGTCAGAGGCCAGCTCAGTCTGAATAGCTTGGTATAAAAGATCTTCAAAAATACGCTATCTTCTCTTTCTGAGGAGAACACAAGGTTTTCCTGAAAAGACTTCCAACAGTAAATAGCTATAAGGACTTCTGCAGAAGGGCCACAATGGCTTTCACAAATGTGCATTAACTAAATATGCATCTCTGTATTAGCAAAAGAGTAAACTTGTGCTTTATTTCCTTATGTGTAAAATATGGAAATAGAGTGTAAAATGAGATTCCCATATTTTGGGAATCAACTGCCAGAGATGCAAACACATTCCACAGAAGCGTTTAGTGCCAGTTTTAACAACAGATAGTTACCAGAGTACAGGAACAAAACAGCAAGCTCTGTGTTATTACTCAAGATTTGTGACCATCTATTCGATGTTCGTGCTGTCAGTTTGCAATTTTGTGCTATTCCTTAAATTCTGTATGGAAACGGTAAGGATCACAGGGCCAGGGAAGGTTCTAGACAGAAATCCTGCAGATACGGAGAGAAGCAGCACTGCAGCATTAAAAAGAATTTCTCCCTCAGGGGCCTCTTCTCCCTCCACTCCTCCATTTTTTGCCCTCCCCGCTCAAAAAATATTTCTAATAAAGCACTGAATTCATAACACTTATTTTTAAGGATATGCTTTGCTTGACCAACAGGACACCAGATTTCAGGTGAAGTCAGAAAAATCTTCTCCCATTCTGGAAGAATGGCCTGTCAGGTCTAAACATCATATTTTAGGGATCCAGTATAATGAGCCACCAGCTGCCAACACCCCCTCCAAGGCACAGCCTGTAGATAATCCAAAGAAAACTAAACCGCAGACCCTGTGGCTATAAAGCAACCCACACTTCAGTTACGGGAGTAAACTCAGCTCAGCCACTGGGGCTGGATCGAAAGATCAGAAAGGCGCAGCTGATCTCAAGAGGAGAAAGAAACCAGAAATATCAAGTAGGGGAGGTCTCGAAATGTCATTGTTAACTACTGGAAAGTTAATTGTTAGCTTCTCCCCATCAACTCCGGCTCCAAAGGCTGCTAGGATTGAATGGAAAAAAAGACGAGACAAAAGCAGCTGCTACTGGATGTAGCATTTACACTTTTATGTGACTGAGGATGAAGAAAAACTAATGCCGTCAGCCCGCTCCAAAGACCAAGGAAGCATTTTGTAATAGTGACAGAAACATGGAATATATCTACCACGTCACAAGTTCAGGACGTTAGTCTGCACGGCAGACATGGAGAGATACTCAGATAAACCAAGTCAGTCTAAATCGTGCCATCGTTCCGTAAGACCCCCAAGCTAAGCACAGCGGCCACTGCTGTGTAAGCTCTGTTTCCTCAAATCTGCGGCAAAAAGCCAGGCAAGGCAACAGGAGGCTTTAAACCGGAGCCCCTCGGTGAGCAACAGAGCCGCTTCCAAAACCACGCTGCCTTCAGCCCTGCTCCTCGCCCGCGGTGGAGAGCCTTCAGCCCCGTCCCCCGAGGC